CAGAGACCAGATTTATACTGGATGCAGGCACCCGCAGGCACTAGGATCAGGGTGAGAATGTCAATGCTGTGACTTTCAAATTCAGAGCTACTAAGACTGAGCCTGGCCTCAGGCCATGTGGATGGGGCCTTTGTCTTTTAGCTCAAACCCTTCAGGAGATCTCTTTCCAGCCCCACCATGGCTGCCTGACCACCGCTGTCTCCCATAGCTGTCTGTCAGGCAGTCATTATGGGAATGTAATGCTGGAAATTCTGAAGTGAAACTTTCCATGGCCGCCCTGAGTCCTGAGCTCAATAAACCCTTCCCTGGAACGGTGTCCAACCATGCTGTCTCTCCAGGGATATGGCAGGCACTTGGACTGGAGCCATTCACTAGCCCTGGCCTCACGTGGGTTTAGCATCTACGCTCTTCCTGCAACTCACACACCTGCCTGTGTCTTCCACTGCCATATTTCTCCCTCTGGAATTCCTAGCTTTCACTTTTCTCTAGATTTGATCTTCCTTTCCCTTGATCCATAAACTGGGAGAAAAAGTGCAGATTATCCTTTTGCTTCTCTGCATTGTGTTCTGTCTCTTCAATCTCTCTATAGGTTTTAATTTTCCTGATGGAGCCTTCCTGGTTCCCAGTGTTCTACTTCTCTTTTGTTTTTCTTCCCCAAGTTGTTATTTTTCCAGTGTCTGGATTCCAAATTTCATAGAAGCTAAATTGCTTTTCTCCCAGAGGTCTTCAGTGAATCCTCTTTGTGTTTAAGTGTGACAACACAATGGCAAAATTCATTAATTTAATTTGAAACTTTATGCCTTTTTTTTTCTACCTCTCTAATTCATTTTAGGGCCAGTTTACTCCAGGTGGCCTTATAGCAAAATTTACTCATAATCTTTATATTTGATCAAGAAGGATGATTTCTCATTGCTTTTTATTCAAAACTGGTAAATTCATTGCATTATTGGAAGTGTTTCAACCTTTGCATAGTTAAATATTTATATCTTTTTCTTTAATTAAATACTATAAATTATGTGGCTTATTTTTTCTTTAAACTTTATACATAGCTGCCACAGGATTTGGATGATATAAAATAATTGCATCTAAAACAAAAATAACTTGAAAGTGAGTTTTTAGATGAAAATGATTAGAATGTTTTATATTTGCTAGTAAATTTGACATTTTTTACATATTAAGGCATCATCTGAGAGAACATTCATTGAGATTTTAAAGAAACTTGTGTATGAATGAGTAATGTATATCAATTCTTTATATTATTATTTCTTGTCTATATTTTTAAATTTTATTAATGATATAAAAACTTTTAAGATTAACAGTAGTGGAGTAAAGATAGCAGCAACAAATAGCCTTTCTGTGATCTGGAATTGAGACACCTGAAAAATAACAACTCAGTGAAGAGAATAAAAGAAGTAGATCTCTGGGGTTGAGAGAGAGAGCTGACAGGAAAACTAGAAATTACAGAGATTCTGGAAATAATGAAACAGCCTGTGAAGCTGACCCCAGCTTCCAGAGAAGGGTACACCCATCTCTACTGACAAAATGAGCCTGGAGAGAGGGATGGCATCTCGGAGGAGAGACAACAAACTGGTTCAGCAGTGCTAGCCCAAGAAAAGCCCTCAGATGTTGTAAACTGAAAAAATAATGTGGGGTTTTAGTTTCAAAATGATTCTTTCCACATGGCAGCCATTAGTGAGAGGGTTTAATCAGCAGCTATTTTAGGAAGCAGTTAATAGTTTAAGACTGATAATTCAATATTTCTGGGGTCACCTTAGCACAGTGAATGGGTGGGAGATGGCCACAAGAGACAGTTGCAGAAAGGGCACAGACTAGATATAGATCCCACCTCAGAAATTTAAACTCAGGCCGGAAACATGGGGATCACAGATGCTGGAGAGAAGCCAGCCTAGTCGTGTGGCTTTCAGAGGGCGTGGGACTAAATATTCTGGTATGAAGTCTAGCTGTCTTCTTGGACATTCAGCCAGCTGCCAACATCAAACACGAAACTCAGGAGCCTGATTATTTTCCCATCTACAAATATGAACAAGGATATGTCAGGCTAGGATGGTGTGGTGATTGGTTAACTGATAGTCAGCTTGAGTGGGAACAGCAAGCTGAATTGAATTAGTGTGATTCTGGGGAACAGTATAAAAGGAGAGCAGGGAGGAGGATTTTAGGCTAATTTCCTGTGAAGAGGCTTTGGCTGTTCTTTTCAGCTATTGTCTTGGGTTCAGCTTTGCCTTCCGCTGAGGATGGCTGTTCCCCTGGAAGGAGTTCTGGTCCTCTCCTTCACCGTGAGCACTGTCTTCTGGCCTTTGGCACAGACACTTTGGCTGAGAGCTCTGCTTTGCCCTGGGTGTTACTCATGGTTCTTGATGCAGATTCTAATATGAGCCTTTCAGCATATAGCTCAAATACTAGCCTCTGGTACGGAGGTTCCCATGGATGAATGCACCTATACAAGTCAGATTAGTCGGATTCTGTTTGGTGTTTGCTACTCCCCTGTGTTGCGCTCTGTTTCCTCAGAAAAGCTCCATGTCTGTGACAAGCTTGAAGGCTGAGTTGCAAGCCAAGATCCAAGAGTGTCAACCTAAATTACGACATGTGTACTTCAACAAGGGATTGTGAAGTAAAGGAAGACACTTGGATGGCTAATCCTGCCACCTGCAAACCTGGCAAAGCCACGTCCATGAGGAAAATCCTGTTTGATCTGGGTTCTCCCAGTTTAAAAAAAAAAAAAAACTTTTGGAGATTCACATTAGCCTTTTAGAATTTAAAAATGCTAATAGTATACCTCACAAAGCTAGAGAAAGAAAAGAAGACTAAAATTTGTGTGGAACTAGAAAAGACCTAGAAAAAGCAGCCATGGGAAATAAGAGAAGAGAAGCAGGTGACACAATCCTAGACTTCAGGCTACATTACAAAGCCACAGCGATTAAAAGAGAAAGCATTAGAGTGGCACAAAACTAGACATGTGCACCAATGAAATAGAATAGTACATGCAGGAAAAATTTCAGGCAGAAACGTTTGCCAGACAAAAGATAGCCTCTTTAACAAGAGGTGCTGGGAAAACAGGCTGTAAACTTGAAGATGAATCTAGACCCGTGTCTCTCACTATGTAATCAAAATGGGTCAAAGATCTAAATATTGAAACAGAAACAACCTCCTGAAAGATAAAAAAGTAAAACACCTGATGATATAGGCAAGGTCTTTCTGAACAGAACCTCAATTGCATAACAAGTAACATAAAGAATCAACAAATGGGATTATATCAAATTAAAAAGCTTCTGTACACCAAAGGGAACAACCAACTGAGGGAAGAGACAATCTGTACAGTGGGAAAATTTTTTTATGGCCAGGAATTCCTCAAAGAACTAATATTTAGAATATAGCATAATAAAAGGCCCAATCAAAAAAATGGGCAACTTAAACAGAAACTTTTCAGAAGTAGAAGTAGAAATGGTCAATATATACATGAACAAATGGTCAACATCGCTGGCCATTAGAGAAATGCAAATTAAAATAATATTGATTACATCTTACTCCAGAAAGAATGGCTATTATCAAGAAAAGAAACAACAAATGGTGGAGAGGCTGTGGGGGAAAAGGAACACTTCTACATCTTTATGAAATTCATTACATAGAGTCTTCAAAAACTAAAAACAAATAGAAATTTTACTTAACCCAGCTGTTTCCCTTGTAGATATTTTCCTGAAAGAGTTAAAGACATTTTACCATGGTGATGTATTGCCTACCTGTGTTTATAGCAGCATAATTCCTAATAGCTAAATCTTGTAAGCAGCCTTATGTCCATCAACAGATGAATGATAAAGAAAGTATGGTATTTATAGACTATGGAGTACTACTCTGCCATAAAGAAAGATAAACTTAAGTCATCTGTAGGGAAATACATTTACTTCAAGGCCATAATATCAAGGGAAATAAATAACACTCATAAACTTAAATATTGTATGAGAAACCAAACATAGAAGTAAAGAGCAAATAAAAAATAGATAATAAGAAGTAAGGCCATAGATCTTTTGCAAAAGGAAAGGGGGCCGAGAGAGAGAGAGAGAGAGAGAGAGAGAGGAGGGAAGAGCGGGAAGGGGATGAAAAAGTACTGAGATGGGCTGTGAACATACATCAGCTCCTCAGGGTGAATGTAATTATTGCACACTGCAACTGTACTAACAATTTTTTAAAAAATATAAAAGAGAAATAATAAAAGCACATAATCTTTTTATAAGTTTTACATTACCTGTTCGCTACTGCAAATTTGTCTACTGATCATCATACATTTCTACTTTATGTTAAGACTGTGTTCAGGAGACAGAGAATGAATAAACAAATATTTAGGTATGTTCAAATTTTAGGTGTTAAATGAGTTTCTTTTTAACATTTCATGTTTATGAATTTATCAGGTTACTTTACAGAAAAGGCAAATACACTATTAATGAAAAAAATACCAAATTTTAGCATCAAAAATATGAAGAGATTTAAAAAATTTTTACAGTGGTTCTTGCTTGAGTGATAATGTTTGGTACACTCAAAATGTATGCTTTGTATATTGAAAAAGGCCAAAAAGAGAAGAGATAAAATGCTTTTTGAAAGGAAATGTAGATGTGAATATATATTTAGAGAAAATTCTAAGTAAGATTATCTTATGTTAGGAAATAAAAGTAGCCACAGGTGTGGTGGCACATCTATAATCTTAGCAATCCAGAAGCTTGGGCATGAGGTTTGTGTGCTTGTATGATTCGAGCTAAAACAAACAAACAAACAGACAAACAAAACAAAAACTAAACAAAATAAAAGAAAAAGAGCAAGAGAATAAGATGGTGAGAAAGCAAGAGAGCAAGTGAGAGAGAAAAGAAGGAACGATAGAAAGAAAAAGGAGAAAAGAATGAATAGCAGCAACCAAAGAGAGATGACATTCTTAACCCGAAGTATATTTCATTGTTTGGTATGAACAGTGATTAATAATAATCTTTGATACTTACCGAAAGCTAAATAGTGAATGAGTAGACCTACGATCATGGCCGCGATCCCTACCACCGCAATGACAGTGACAAACACTACCCATGGGTTCATGAATCTCGAATTTGGTGGCACTCTTGTTGGCCTTAAAAGAGCAGGAAAAGAAACGATGACTATTTCACCCATACAGTTCATCATTCATGGATGATCATCTGTATTCCTCAGTCTCTTATCTTACACGTGTTTGTAATTATAGAAATAAAACCTGGTTATGAACTGGGCAGCATGAGGCCCTCCTTCTTGATTTTTCCCCCAAGGTTTTTTGTTGTTATTATTGTTGAGATTTTGGATTTGTTGTTGTTGTTGTTATTTCCTACATAAAACTATCAACTATTTCTTAGTTCAATGAAAGAGTAAAGAAACCTGACCTATGGTTTGGAATTGCTTTTTCTCCTACCAATAGATAAAGTTCTCAAAAAACTTAAACAAATCAAACAGAACAACAACAACAAAACTATTCTGTTTTACTGCAACATCTTCATTATAGTGATGCTCTTTCTCTTATCAATGACAGTAAGGGCAGAGGCAAAGGGCTGAGACACAGGAGAGCAGCAAGACCTGAAAGGTGTTAGAACTGCCCCAAACTAGAAGATTTGTGTGATTTATCATTTTTCCCCCCCAGGATTGTCTTCTATTAGGCATATCAATGGAGAAAAATCATAATAAATTTGTAAATGAACTTTCTTTTACTTATTTATTTTCCCATTTATTTTTTATTTTGGGGTAGCATTTAAATGACTTTATTTTCCTTGAGGATATAAATCACTTTGTACTCCTTGGAGGTACAGAGGTGATTGGGTAAATGGTGAGAGGCCTGAGCCTGCCTATTTAATGCTTTTCTGAGAATTGGAAAAAGGCAACTCCTTCAGGAGACAAGAATTTTAGAAGGCTGTCCCTTGGGCTGAATGTAGTTCCACGCTGGGGCAGACAGCTCAGAAAGCATACTCAGTGAGAGTAAACTACAGCTTACTGCCTATCTTCCTCCAAACCATGCATGGTCTGTCGTAACTTGCAAAAATAGCACAACTGTAAATAACAGCACAGAAATGATGTGTTGATGTTCTGGAATCTACTATTTGTGTGGAAAGTCAGTGTAGGATGAAAAATCTTCTCATAAACTTTGCAAATTGATGCGGGCAAATGACTAGCATGCATGTGCGTGTGTGTGTGTGTGTGTTTGTGTGTGTAAAGTGCAAGAGGAATTGGGGTACATGAAAACATACCACCGATAAGCTTGAGTATAAACTCAGCTGCTTCCCTGGCTGGTTAGGCTTTGCCCTTCCTGGAACTCAGACCATACCCTGGTGCTTAAAGCGTGTCTACAATAGGACAAATTCACCTTTCTTGCCAGTAGAGAAGCAAATGCCTTTCCAGTTGAGGCTCTATATATTCTAATTGGATCTCACTGTGCAGGAATTCTGGAAGTCAATGATCATCCTTCTCCAGTTTATTATGATGATTATTATTGAAATAGATTTCAAATCCTTTTTTTTTTAAAGACAGGGTCTTACTGTGTAGTTGAAACTGACCTGGAACTCACTATGTAGAAAGTCTGGTCTCGAACTCATAGAGATCCTCCTGCCTCGGCCTCCTGAGTGCTGGGATTACAGGGGTACATCACCACATCTGGTGGTTTCAAGATACTTTACAGCAATTGCTGCTTGACTTAAAAATATTTTCACTGAAGGGAGGGTAGGGATAAGGGGAAAAAATGAGAACCAAGATCTGTCATATAACGGTGCAAGATCCCATTGGTGAATGTGACTGTACTGTACACCTAAAATGTACCAATAAACTCAATGAAAAAAAAAACATTTTCACTGATGCCAGTATTTGAGGTTTGTGGTCTATACTAAACAAAATTTTCAGAGAAGGAAAAGAGTGAATATGCTCCTCTACATTGTATCAAATCTTAATTTGGAGCCTGCTAAATAGAAAAACAGTACTAGTTTGTAATATTGTCTTCATTAATATTCACTTAATGTTCCCAAAATAAGGAAGACATTAATTTTCTCCAAGAAAACAAGATCATTTTGTCTTTTTGAAATTTCCTGTGTTCTAGTGACAGTCTTTCAGATGAGGACCTGAAATATAAATGATTTTATTAATTGACTTTTCTGAGCACATTAACTTCTGGATTGTAAAGGATATTGAAAAAATGTAGATGGAGAACTAGATGAGAGTTAGGAGCTATGGATTCAAGCACCCTCTCTGTCAACTCTAAACTATGAGCTCTCACATGTGTCAGAACTACTCCAAGCTCCATCTTATTCTAAAAATGCACAAAACAAAGTTTTCCGTATCCAAAGAGAATAAAATAAAATAGCCTACATGACAATGATTTGTGGAGTAGTGGTCCCTGGAATTTAAGGCATCACGACAGAGGTAGCTGAGGTATAAGATCTCTGAGAATGGACAGTGTTGTGGCAGCGAGTATCACGTGATCGTGGGGACGCCCTTTCTTCTCCCGGAGTCTCAGGGCCCTCGACTCTGGACCCCAGGGTCAGTACACGCTGTACAGGAGTTTGGTGGGAATTAAAGCATGCTGTATGGGCTCTGTATAAGCTAAAAGGGCTATGGACTCACACACACACACACACACACACACACACACACACACAAAACTTTCTAGTAAAACACATTTTTTCAATACTGACTTTAATTGTTATTACCTTATTGCTATATTTCAATTTATACTATTGTTAGAAAAAAATCCTGCATTGCTTTTAAAACGATTTCATCTGTTTTGTTTATATTTTTGTTTGTATGATTAGAAGAAAAAAAATCCTACATTTCATTTAAAATATATGATTTCATCTGTTTGTGCTTATTTACTCGACTATCTACACCCTTTTCATTTTACTCTTTACTCATTATTTTTTTAGAGATGACTTCTAAATTGACACCTTTGTAACATTTTTCACCAACTACAGTTTATTCAGCTGCATTCTGAGTGTTATTACAGGGAACTTTGTACTGAAAAGAAGGAATGTGTCCTTATACTCCTTCATCAGTGTATTTTCAGAGTATATTCATTTTTTAGGCTTCTGTAATTATTAATTGCTTTACTCAGAAGTTGTTTGAGATTTACAAGCTTGCTATTTTGTCAGACATTCAAAAATAAATAAGGTACCTTTCTCCATTGTAGGTGGGAGTGCAGACTAGTGCAACCACGGTGGAAATCAACATGGAGATACCTCAGAGAACTAGGATTAGAGGTTCCAGTTGACCCAGCTATACTTCTGCTGGGTATCCTTCCAAAAGAATTTTAAAAAATCATATCACAGTGATATATGCCCACCTATGTTTATAGCGGCACAGTTTATAATAGGTAAAACTTGGAAACAGCCCATTTGTCCATCAGTTGGAAACTGGATAAAGAAGATGTGGTTTTTCTATAAAATGGAATACTATGCAGCCATAATGAAAGAGAAATTAGATTCTTTCATAGGAAAATGGATACATATTGAGGATGTACTCCTAAGTGAAATAAGTAAGTCACACACGTATAAATACCAAATAGTTTCCTGGTGTGAAAAGTTATAATGATACATAAGATCGTAATAATATAATTAACAATGTAAAATAGGAAGAAAAGAGATAAAGGTGTAGGGAAAGTGGGAAGGGTAGGGGAAAGGTAATAAAGGAAAAGAAAAAAATATGAGAAAATGAAAAATGGAACTAAATTGTTTGTAAATGGGGAGGGGAGGAGGGGGTGAAGGGAGGGCTGGGACAATGAGAACCAAGACCTGTCATGTAACAGTACAAGATCCCAATGATGAGTGCAACTGTATTGTATACCTAAAATGTTCCAATAAACTCAATGAGAGAAATAAATAAATAAGGTAATTTTTTTTTTTTTTTTTTGGATACTGGGGATTGAACTCAGGACCTTGCTCTTGTAAGGCAGGTGTGGTGCCACTGAGCTAGATCCCCAGCCCAAGGTAAAATTTAATTACTTCAAAGTAATAAGTAAAATGTGCTACATCAGTATTCCACATTCAATTGGACCTGAGAAGTCAGAGCAAGAACTTTTGGATAAAGGTGGGAGGAGCTCTCAGCAATCTTTGTGAAGCATGTGTCACTTGAGCTATGCCTTGAAGGATGAGTAGGCCTTGTGGGAAAATGGAGAAATGTTCAAAGGAGTTTTTTAATCTCTATTCATTTGAGAAGTGCAAATGAAAACAACACTGAGATTCTACCTCACCCCAGAAAGAATGGCTGCTATCATGAACTAGGACTGGTAGTCCCATTTGACCCAGCCATCCCCCTGCTGGGTATCTTCCCTGAAGAATTCAAAGAATCATACCACAGTCATGCATGTGTTCTCATGTTTATAGCAGAACAATTTGTGATAGCTAAAACTTGGAAGCAGCCCTATTTCCCATCAACAGGAGACTGGATAAAGAAAATGTATGTGTTTTTTTAAAAAAAATATATTGGAGTACTACTCATCCACAAAGAATGAGAAACTAGAGACATCTATAGCTAAATGGATGCACCTTGAGGCCATAATTTTAAGTGAAATAAATAGGATACATATGTGTAAATACCTAATAGTTTCTTGTGTGAGAAACTGAAAGCATAAATAAGTACTAAAATGTATGATACATAATGTGAAATAGGAAGAAAAGGTGCAAAGGGGAAGGGAAAGTGAGAAAGGTATGGGAAAAGAAAGATGGGAATGGAATTAGCATGAGAAAAAGAAAAAATAGAAGCAAAGTTTTTGTAGATAGGGATGGATGGAGGGGTTGAATGGAGGGCAGGGGAATGGGGAAAAACTAAGAACCAACATGGATTATGTAAAAGTGCAAATTTCCAATGATGAATGTCATTACACTGTATAACTTAAATGTACTAATAAAATTAATTAAGAAAAGAAAGAAAATGGAGAAACAAAGGCAAAAGAGGTAGAGAATTTATGAGACTTTATGTACTGAATTTGAGTTATTTTGATCACAGAAATAGTTTGAGTTTTTGAGGTATTTTAATAATAAAAATTATTCTCAATTTATGATGAGGTTATATGTGAGTAAACCTATCTTTATAGCAAGTGGAAAATATTGTGAATGAAAATGCATTTAATGCACCCAAACTGTTGAATATCTTAGCTTAGCAGTGCATACAGAGTGCAC